TTTTATATGGTTTTTACAGTAGCAATTCCAAAGGGTGTGAAGTGGAATCTCTTTGGAGTTTTGATTTGCATTTTCATATTGATTAGTGATGATGAGTCTCCTTTTATGTGCTTATTGTTCATTTGTATATCTTCTTTGAAGCAATGTCTATTCAAGCATTTTGCCCATTTTTAATCAGTTTATTTTGTTGTTTCTGAATTTTGAGATGTCTCCATATGTTGTAGATAATAACCACTTATTAGATATATAATTTGCAAATACTATATCCCATTCTTCAATATCTTTTTATTCTTTTGATATTATCTTTTGATGCACTTTTTAAAACAATTTTATTTCAATTTCAATTTGTTTTGTGTGATTTTGTTGCTTGTGTTTTTGCTGGCATGTCCAATATAATTGTGCTAAATTTAATGCCATGAAGATTTTAATCTTCTATTTTTTTCTAAGATAGTTTTAGGTATTACATTTAAGTCTATTTTTATTTTGAGTTTACACTTGTGTATGATGTTAGATGAGGGTCTAACTTTCTTCTTTTCATTGTGGATATTCATTTTTTCTAGTATTATTTGTTAAAAAGACTATCATTTCCCCTTTAAATTGACTTAGAATATTTGCACAAAATATTTTGACTACATATTCCAGGTCTTATTTAGGGATTCTTTTTGGTCTATATGTGTGGTTGTTAAACAAGTGCCACATTGTTTTTATGCCATAGTTTTGTATTAAGTTTTGAAATAAAAAAGTATTTAAGTCCTACAACCATATTATTCTGTTTCAAGGTAATTTTGGCTATTGAGAACCACTTGAGAGTCCATATGAATTTTAGGATAGATTTTTAAATTTCTACTCAAAAAGTCATTAGGATTTTGGATGCTTTCAATCAGTAGATCTCTTTGGGTAGTATTGACATTTTACAATACTAGTTTTCTAATTCGTGAACACAGGATGTATTTATTTATGTTTTCCCTTTTTTTCAGCAATATTTTGAAGTATCATCATATAGGTCTTTCATCTTGATGGCTAAATTCTAAGTATTTTATACATTTGGATGCTATTGTAAACTAAATTGTTTACGTCGTTTTCAGATTTTTTTGTTCATAGAAATGCAACTGATTTTTAAGTATTGACTTTGTATTCTGATTATCTTTTTAAATCTATTTATCAGTTCCAACAGATTTTTGTAAAATCTTTAGGACTTTTTTCACACACAATTATATCATCTGTAAACAGAGATCATTTTACTATTTCTTTTTAATTGAAAGGTCTGTTATTTTTGTGGTTGCCTAACTGCTCTGGTTAGAACATCCAGTACTATGTTGAATTGAAGGGATAAAAGCAAGTATCCTTGCCTTCTTCCTAATCTTAGAGGAAAATATTCCAATATTTCAATGTTGAATATGATGTTCAATGTAAATTCTGCATATAAGAATGTTATTATGTAGAAGTATTTTCTTTTGTTGAATGTTTTTACGCTGAAAGGATTTGAATTTTGCCAAACGATTTTCCTGTATTAATTGAGTTGATCATATAGTTTGTTTTCTTAATTCTGTTAATAGAGTATATTGCATTAATTGATTCTTATATGTTGAATCATTCTTGCATTTCAGGAAAAATCATAGTCATGAAGTATAATCCATTTAGTATGCTGCTGAATTTTGTTTTCTAGTAATTGGTTTAGAAGTTCTGCATCAGTAATATAAAGGAGACTGTTCTATAGATTTCTTATTTTGTAAGATTTATCTTTGTATGACTTAGGTGTCAGAATTATTTTTGCCTCATGGAATGAGTTATGAACTATTCCCTCCTCTTCAATGTTTTGGAAATATTTGAGGATTGGTATGCTCAAATTACTTCTACCTTTAATGTTAAGGCTATCAGGTCCAAGCCTTTTTCCTTGTTGGAAGTTTTGTTTTGTTGTTTACTGTCTTTTTTAACTGATTCAATCTCAATACTAATTATAGGTCTGTTCATATTTTCTATTTCTTCATAATTTACTTTTGGTAGCTTTAGTATTTCTAAGAATTTGTCAGTTTCATCTAGGTTATTCCATTTGTTAGTGTATAATTATGCATAATACCCTCATAATGCAGTTTATTTTGGTATAATGCATAGCAACATTCCAATTTCATTTCTTATTTTAGTAAATTTAGTCTGTTCCCTTTTTTAGTACATTTAGCTAAAAATTTGACAATTTTGTAAATTGTTTCAAGGAACCAACTTAGGGTTACATTTTTTTTCTGTTTTTCTAGTCTATAATTTATTTGTCTATGTTCAAATATTTATTTCTTTATTTTTGTTAGTTGTGGGTTTAGTTTGTTATTCCTTTTTAGTATTTCAAGTTGCAAATTTAGGTTGTTACATTCACATTTTTCTTATTTGATTAATTGAAGGATTTATGATTATAAATTACCTCAAAAGAACTGCTTTTATTGCACCCTATAAGTTTTGATAATGTTGTATTTTATTTTTCTTTCATCTCGAAGTATTTTCTAATTTTCCTCATAATTTTTTATTTGATCTATTCTTCATTCCATTTGGTTATTTGATATTATGCTGTTTAATTTTCACAAATTTGTGACTTTATCAGTTTAGCTTCTGTTACCAATTTCTAACTTTATCTTGTGGTCAAAAAAGGTACTTTGTATGCAATCTCTCATTGTACGTCTATTAAGACTTAATTTGTGGTCTGACACATGTTATAGCCTGGAAAATGTCTCATGTGCCCTGCTATTGCTAAATAGAGTGTTCAGTATATTTATATTTGATTTAGTGGATTTCTTGTATAATGTGTTTTAATCCTCTCTGTGCTCATCTGATGTCTGGCTATTCTGTGCATTATAGAAAGTAATGCACGAAGTTTCTATTATTGCATATCTATTTTGCACTTTAATTCTGTTTGTTTTACTTTATATATTTTGATAACTTGTTATTAGGTAACTAAATGTTTATAATTGTTACATATTCTTGCTACATTTGAAACTATTATTAATAGATAATGTTCTTCATTGTTTCTCTTTTTTTATTGCATTTTAGGTTTTGGGGTACATGTGCAGAACATCCAAGATAGTTACATAGGTACACACATGGCAGTGTGTTTTGCTGCCTTCCTCCCCTTCACCTACATTTGGCATTTCTCCCCAGGCTATCCCTCCCCAGGTCCCCCACCTCACTGTCCCTCCCCTCTTCCCCCCAATAGACCCCATTGTGTAGTACTCCCTTCCCTGTGTCCGTGTGTTCTCACTTTTCCTCACCTGCCTATGAGTGAGAATATGCTTCCTCATAAACTTTTCCTATATAAAATTTATTTTGTTTGAAAACATAGCCATTTTTACTCTCTTTCTTCTACTATTTGCATGAAATATCTTTCCATCATTTCATTTTCAATCTACTTGTGTGTTTGGATTTAAAATGAGTCTCTTGTAGACAGCATGTAGTTGGCTTCTGTGTTTTCTTTGTTTTAAAGTTTTTTTTTCTTTTAATATTGTTTAAGTTACTTATTTTTCCTTTGTTGCTTCTGCTTTTGGTGTCATATGTTCCTTTTTTTCCTTTTTGTTTTGTTCTGTTTTGTTTTTTGAGATGGAGTTCTGCTCTGTCACCAGGCTGGAGTGCAGTGACATGATCTCAGCTCATTACAATCCCTGCCTCCTGGGTTCAAATGATTCTCCTGCCTCAGTCTCCTGAGTAGTTGTGATTACAGGTGTGTACTAACTTTTTGTAAAGCTATTCTTCTAATCTCTGTTTTTTGATTGAAGAGTATAATACATTTACATTTAAAGTAATCACTGATAAGCATGGCCTTTACATCTGCCATTTTGCTATGTTCTTCCTATATTTGTTTTTTTTTCCACAAATATTTTTATTTTGATATAGATATACTTAATGGCTGATGACCCAGTATCTTTGGTGTCCTCTAACCACATTAGCGTTGTGTAATTTCAAAATGAAATCTATATTTTAAAATACAAATAATGTCAAATTTTGTCATAATATCTGATTTTCAGGCAGACTTTTAATTTTAGTACAACTTAAAATGTCATTAACATTCTAATATGATTTTAATACAATTCTGAATAATTCCCTGTGGAATTTATCTTTTATATATTTTTCCTTTTAAATTAGATGAAAATCTCCAAGTAAAAAGAGATTTATAGTTTTTTTTTTTTTTTTTATTTTTTTTTAGACAGAGTTTTGTTCTTGTTGCTCAGGCTGGAGTGTGGAGTGCAATGGTGTGATTTCAGCTCACCACAACCTCCGCCTCCTGGGTTCAAGTGATTCTCCTGCCTCAGCCTCCTGAGTGGCTGGGATTACAGGCATGCACCACCACCCCCAGATAATTTTGTATTTTTAGTAGAGACAGGGTTTCACCATGTCGATCTGGCTGGTCTTAAATTCCCAACCTCAGGTGATCCACCCGATACGGCCTCCTGAAGTGCTGGGATTACAGTCATGAGCCACCTCTCCTGGTGGAGATTTACAGTTTATAATGGTAAAGACACTACTACTTCAGAATCAAAGCCAAATCAGTATTACTTAATAATTCAGGGAAAATTTAGATAAATTCACTAGACAAAGGTAAACTGATATTCTTATCTACTCATAAAATTATCTTTGAATTGTAAATAAACAGCTATGTGTGGCTAATTTAGTAAGAAATAAATTTTTAATAGAATTTTGATAGCTCTTAACTGACATCCTAAATCAAGGATTTAGAGATGAAATATCATAAAGAATAGTAAGATTTTAAAGCTCTCAGAGTAACACAGGATACAAATAAAGACTGTAAAGTATTTAATCATTGTCTGAAACTTTATTACTTAATGAAAGTTTCTATATACTGCTCCAATTACTTTTTCAATCCTTCTTTTCTGACTAAAAAAAAATTGTTTTATTCTTCAGTTGAGTCAAGATGCTTTTAATTACTTTTTATTAACTGTTTCCAGAAACCATAACAGGTGCAGGAATAGATTGATGATGTCCAAGTAGAGGCTGATAGCAGCTAATATGTCTACAGCATCCTTTCTCTGCAAGTCCTCTTAACTACAATGGCTTCAACGGTTTTTTAATACTTTGAGTCTATACGAACATTTGTACATGACAATCCTGCCTTAATTTTGCTGTTTGCCCTCGGATCTCTGGGATTGATTTTTGCATTGAATTTTAACAGACATAACTATCCCCTTAACCTGTACCTAGTTTTTGGATTTACGTTATTGGAAGCACTAACTGTGGCTGTTATTGTTACTTTCTATGATGTACATATTATTCTGCAAGCTTACATATTGACTACTGGAGTATTTTTTGGTTTGACTATGTATATTCTGCAAGCTAAGAAGGATTTCATCAAATTAGGGGCAGGGCTGTTTGCTTTTTTGTGGATTTTGTGCTTGTCAGGAGTCTTCAAGTTATTTTTTTATAGTGAGACAGTGGAGCTGGTCTTAGCTGCTGCAGGAGCCCTTCTTTTCTGTGGATTCATCATCCATGACACACACTCACTGATGCATAAACTGTCACCTGAAGAATACCTAATTTTGTTATAACCATTTTTGCCTTTACATTCTGCATTATGTTGAGATTTGTGTTATAACGTTTAAATTTCTTTCTCACTTCCTTTTGTGTATATTCTATAGCTCTTATCTTAATAATTCTTAAGGTGTATTAGTTTGTTCTCAAACTGCTAATAAAGATATACCAGAGACTGGGTAATTTATAAAAGAAAGCGTTTTAATTGACTCACAGTTCAGCACTGCTGGGGGGGCCTCAGAAAAGTTACAATCATGGTCAAAGCAGAAACAAACTTGCTCTTCTTCACATAGTGGCAGGAAAGAGAAGAATGAGAGCTGAGAGAAGGGGGAAGCCCCTTATAAAATCATCAGGTCTCATGACAACTTAATCACTATCATGAGACTAGTATAAAGGAGCTGCCCCTATTATTCAATTACCTCCCACCAGGTTCCTCCCATGAAATGTGGGGATTATGGGAACTACAATTCAAAATGAGATTTGGGTGAGGACACAGCCAAACCATGTAATTCTGCCTCTGGCCCCACCCAAATTTCATGTTCTCACATTTCAAAATAAAATCATGCCTTCCCCACAGTCTCCCAAAGGCTTAACTCATTCCAGCCTTAACTCAAAAGTCCAAGTCTAAAGTCTCATCTGAGACAAGGCAAACCCCTTCCACCTATGAACCCATAAAATCAAAAGCCAGTTAGTTACTTCCTAGATACAATGGAAGTACAGAAATTGGGTAAGTATACCCATTCTAAATGGGAGAAACTGGCCAGAAAGGAGCAGCAGACTCCATGTGAGTCCAAAATCCAATAAGTCATTAAACCTTGAAGTTCCAAAATGATCTACTTTGACACACTGATGCAAGAGGCAGGGTCCTATGGGCTTGGGCAGCTCTGCCCCTGTAGCTCTGCTAGGTACAATTCCCATCCAAACTGCTTTCATGAGTTGGTGTTGAGTGTCTGAAGACTTTCCAGGTGCATGATGCAAGCTGTCGTCGGATCTACCATTCTGGGGTCATTAGGATGGTGGCCCTCTTCTTATAGCTCCACTTGAAAATGCCCCAGTGGGGACTCTTTGTGGAGCCTACAACCCCACATTTTCCTTCTGCACTACCCTAGCAGAGTATCCATGAGGGCCTCACCCCTGAAGCAAACTTATGCCTGGACATCTAAGCATTTCCATACATTCTCTGACATCTAGATGGAAGTTTCCAAGCCTCCGTTCTTGAATTCTGTGCACCTTCAGGCTCAGTACCATGTGCAAGCTGTCTAGGCTTGGGGCTTTCAGCCTCTGAAGCCATGATCTGAACGGTACCTTGGCCCCCTTTAGCCATAGCTGGAGTGGCTAGGATTCAGAGCACAAAGTCCCTATGCTGCACACAGCACTGGGGCCCTGGGTCTGGCCCAGAAAACTATTTTTTGCTCCTAAGTCTCTAGGCCTTTGATGGATCAGTCTGCCGTAAAGGTCTCTGACATCCCCTGGAGACATTTTTTCCATTGTCTTGGAGATTAGCATTTGGCTCTTTGTTACTTAAGAAAACTTCTACAGTAGGTTCAAATTTCTCCTTAGAAAATGACTTTTTATTTTCTCCTGCAATGTCAGGCTGCAAGTTTTTCAAACTTTTATTCTCTGCTTCCTCTTGAACACTTTGCCGCTTAGAAATTTCTTCTACTGGATACCTTAAATCATCTCTCTCAAGGTCAAAGTTCCACAGATCTCTAGGGCAGGGGCAAAATGCTGTCAGTCTCTTTGCATAACAAGAGTAAACTTCGGCCAAGCGCACTGGCTCAATCCTAGTACTTTGGGAGGTTGAGGTGGGTGGAGCACCAGAAGTCTGGAGTTCGAGATCAGCCTAGTCAACATGGTGAAACCCCATCTTTAATAAAAATACAAAAACAAAAAATAGCTAAATGTGGTGGCAGGCACCTGTAATCTCAGCTACTTAGGAGGCTGAGGCAGGAAAATTGCTTGAACCCAGGGAGCAGAGGTTAGAGTGAGCTGAGATTGCACCATTGCACTCCAGCCTGGGCAACAAGAGTAAAACTCCATCTCAAAAAACAAAAAAACAAAAAAAACAAAAGAGTGACCTTCACCCCAGTTCCCAATAAATTTCTCATTTCCATCTGAGACCACCTCAGCCTGGACTTTATTGTCCATATCACTATCCGCATTTTGGTCAAAGCCATCCCACAATTCTCTAGGGGGAAGTTACAAACTTTCCCACATCTTGTTGTCTTAGCCTTCCAAGACTGTAAGAAGTTTCAAACTTTCTCACATTTTCCTTCTTTTTCTGAATTCTCCAAACTGTTCCAACCTCTGCCTGTTACCAGATTCCGAAGCTGCTTCCACGTGTTCATATATCTGTACAGCAGCAACCCACTACCTGATACCAATTTACTGTATGAGTTTGTTCTAGCACTGCTAATAAAAACATTCCTGAGACTGGGTAATTTATCAAGGAAAGAGATTTAAAACACTTACAATTTAGCATTGCCTGGGAGGCAGTAAAGGGGAAGCAAAACATATCTTCACATGGCCAGAACAGGAGGAAGACAGCTTTCCTATATACCAACAACAGCCAAGCTGAGAGCCAAATCAGAAAAACAACTGTGTTCACAACTGCCACAATAAGAATAAAATACCTAGAAATACAGCTAACTAGGGAGATGAACGTTCTATACAATGAGAATTACAAAACACTGCTTACAGAAACCAAAGAAGACACAAACAAATGGAAAAATATATACCATCTTCATGAATGGTGTATTAGTCCATTTTCAAACCACTATGAAAATACTACTTGAGGCTTGGTAATTTATAAATAAAAAGAGTTTAATTGACTCACAGTTCTGCATATGACTGAATGCTTTCAGGATCAACTAGGTCAAATCTTGAATGCGTTGCTGCTTAGAAATTCCTTCCACCAGATACCCTAAATCTCTCAAGTTCAAAATTCCACAGATGTCTAGGGCAGAGGCAAAATGCCACCAGTCTCTTCATTAAGTCATAGCATGAGTGACCATTACTCCAATTTCCAACAAGTTCCTCTTCTCCATCTGAGGCCACCTCAGCCTGGGCTTCATTGTCCATATCACTATCAGCATTTTGGTCAAAATCGTTCAACAAGTTTCTAGGAAGTTTCAAACTTTTCCACATCTTTCTGTCTTCTTCTTAGCCCTTCAAATTGTTCCAACTTCTGCCTGTTACCCAGTTCCAAAGTTGCTTCCACATTTTCAGTTTATCTTTGTAGCAGTACCCAACTTTGAGTTGACTTTTGTATATGGTGAAAGGAAGGGATCCAGTTTCAATTTTATGCATATAGCTTTCCAGTTCTCTCAGCACCATTTATTAAATAGGAAATCCTCTCCTCATTGCTTGTTTTTTTAGGTTTGTCAAATATCAAATGGCTATAGGTGTGCAGTCTTATTTCTGGGTTCTCAATTCTGTTTCATTGGTCTATGTGTCTATTCTTTTACGTACCATTCCATTTTGATTACTGTAGCATTGTAGTATAGATTGAAGTCAAGTAGTATGATACCCCCAGCTTTGTTCTTTTTGCTTAGGATTGTCTTGACTATTCAGGATATTTTTGGTGGTGTTGTTCCATGCGGAGAACAAAATGTAGAATTACTAGCCAAAGTTACAATAATACTATATTTAGAATAATAATTAATTTTTTCTTTAATGTACAAGTATTTTAAATTATTTAGAAAACAGAAAGTAGAATTACAAACCAGTATTACAATAACACTAGATTTTATAATTACTCATGCATTTACATTTGTTGAGATATTTATTTCTTCATAGGACTTCAAATTTCCTGTCTTGTGTCTTTTCATTTCACCTTGAAGGACTTCCTTGAGCATTTTTACAGAGCAGATCTAGTGGTAATGACTCACTCAGATTTTGTTTATCTGAAATTTCTTCCTTACTTTTGAAGAACACTTTGCCAGACATTGGAATTTTGGTTGACAATTTTCTTATTTTAGGTTTTAAATATATTGGCCCACTGTTTTATTACCTCCAGTGTTCTAATGAAAAACTCTGTTTAAAATATTACTGAGAATCCCTCATATATTGCTAGTCATTTATCTCTTGCTACTTTCAAATTTCTCTCTATCTTTCAAATTTTAATCATAATATGGCTTGGCATGGGTCTCTTCGAGTTCATCTTGGAATCCATTGAGCTTCTTATTTATCTTCTACATTTGATTCTTTCTTTTCTTTCTTTCTTTTTTTCTCTCTCACTTTCTTTCTTTCCTTCTTTCTTTCTTTCTTTTTCTTTTTCTTTCCTTTCTTTCTTTCTCTCTCTCCTTTTCTTTTTGGAGATGAAGTCTCACTCTGTCACCCAGGCTGGAGTACAGTGACATGATCTCAGCTCACTGCAACCTCTGCCTCCCAGGTTTAAATGATTCTGCTGTCTCAGCCTCCTGAGTACCTAGGATTACAGGCATGCATCACCATGCATAGATGATTTTTCTATTTTCAGTAGAGACAAGGTATCACCATGTTGGCCAGGCTGGTCTCAAACTGCTGACCGCAAGTGATGCTCCCACCCTGGCCTCTCAAAGTGTTGGGATTACAGATGTGAGCCACTGTGCCCAGCATAATACTTATTTCTTAAAGGCAAGTTAAAACAATTGTGTATATGGGTTTCTAGTTGTTTAATTTGGTGTTCCTGAGGGAAGATAACCACTGGAGGATTCTATTCTTTTTTTTTAAATTGCATTTTATGTTTTGGGGTACATGTGAAGAACATGCAAGATAGTCGCATAGGTACACATCTGGCAGTGTGATTTGCTGCCTTCCTCCCATTTACCTATATCTGGCATTTCTCCCCATGCTATCTCTCCCCAACTCCCCAACCCCAGCTGTCCCTCCCCTATTCCCTGCAACAGACCTCGGTGTGTAGTGCTCCCCTCCCTGTGTCCGTGTGTTCTCATTGTTCAACACCCACATGTGAGAACATGTGGTATTTCATTTTCTGTTCTTGTGTTAGTTTGCTAAGATTGACGTTCTCCAGGTT